GATCTGACCTGTCTTCTTTCAATAACAAGCCAAGCACGGAAAACGCCGTCGAAGCCTGGAATTGGAGTGTTTTGCTCTGTTTGCCATGCATGAAACCCTGAAGATTGACCTTGACCTTGACTCTACTAGCATGGTCAGGCTGGAGCAAGAGGCCCAGTTGGTGTGCAGTTCGCCGTACGCGCCACCAGTGATGGATTGTCAAGTGATGATGGCAGACGATGCATGTCCTTGTCATTGATTAATGCGTTCTGTTAATTGCCTTGCAATATCGATCTGGCATAGCGATATTCCAATGCTTTGATTGATATCATTGCATTGAGCCCGGCAATTGGCTTGAGGCAACTTTCAGACGCGTTCTTGAATATGGAAATGTCAGATCATGTCCCCGCGCGAAATTGGGAGGAAGCTCATGGTGAAGAAAAAAAGTGCGATGGCAGACCACTCCTTGACTTTTCTGCTGCATTGCAGCCGAGGGTAAACGTCAGTCAAGGCAAGGAAAAGTCAAGGGGAAGGAATCATGAGAAGGGGCTGCAGGACGTCTCCAAAATGACGAAAACAGTTCTTCTTCACACCCTCTTGCCCTCGTCCCTCTTCCCCTTAGCGTCACTACATGCCTACTTAGGGAATACGGAATGCTGAAGCATTAGGAATTACCCTGGCCCGTATTCGATTTTATGGCCCGGATTGCTGATTGCTGATTGCTGGCTGGCACGCTGCCTCGCTACACTGGCTGGCTTGCTGGTTGGTCAGCTGGCACGCAGGCACGCAGACTGATCCCGCGAGCTAAGCTGGGTTGACACGCTGCCAATGTGCCGGATAGATCTGTCCCGAACGTTCCCTCGACAAATCGTGCTGCCGTCTGCTCACTTTCAAATGGGATTCCCTCGTCACGGCTTCCCGGTTGGAAACTCCGTCGGCAAATTCGTCTGTGTGTGTGCCTGCTGTGCTGCTGTGCTGTGCTTCATGTTCACTGAAGTGAATATGGAGTTTAATATGGGGAAGTTGGGGGGTGGATATCTATTCGTTCCTGCTCGGCACGGTTTCTTTGAGGGGGTCTGACTCGCTTTGATGCGGAGTGATATCCCATATTATCTCATATGGATATTGATCAGGCATGCTCCATGCGAGACTCGTTGCACGGGCTGGGCAGCAAGGACAACTAAACGAAAGAATTATAGAGAAAGACAGGAAGAGGCGCAGCTTCTTCAACCCAGGAGCCATCCTAGACGCCAGAAGACGTCTGCTTGTTTTGGAAATCTCGGTCAGACGTGAGTCTCCCTGTGTGGCACTCTGCCTGCGACGATTTCAAAAGTAACCGAAGAACCAAAACCGGGTGTACGAAGAGGCGAAGTCTTCTATTTCCAGGCTTTTCTGACCACATGCCAGCCAGTGTGTGAGACCGAAGCGTATGGCTCATGAATTCTTTTCTTGAGGCAATGGACTGCTGTATCCCCCTTACTCATCTCCTTTCCTCATGGGTTTGGAGCTTGTCGCACGGCTATGATGAGTTAAGCTCAGCGTTCCAGAAATCCTGCATGAGCATAAAGTTTCATCAGCTGTCGTGCAAAAGAGATTGATGGCCCTTATTCGTCGCCTGAAGAGATGGAATTGCTATCATTCATGTGGACATCCGGGTATTCAAACAACCATGTTCAAAGCTGGAGGTTCTTCACGGCCAGATGATGGAAAAAGGTGTCCGGATTTGAAGCGATTGGTCGGGGCATCAGCCAGGCAGCACAGTTTGATCCCTTATGCGGGGGTAACAATGGCTCGCATCATGCTGATTGAAGTCATTGGGACACAAACTATTCAGGAACGGTTTATACGAGTGTCTTTCTGATTTAATTGCCATTATTACGCAGGCCAGGGATATTAGGTTTGACTGACATTCGAGTGTCTCGAATAATCACACAGCCAGAAGGCTTGCGAACCATCATAACTTGCACAGGCCGTGGAACGTGAAGTCTCGCTCGGAATCGGACTGTTCTCTTTCTCGTCCCGGGCCACTCCCAGGCTGTATCTGGCGTGACCACAATTGTGCTCTGTCAGAGGAATTCAGGCATGGGCCAGGCATGGGCCAGGCATGGGCCAGGCATGGAGAAATCCTATAGGGAACCGTCGCGTGGTCCCGAACGCACGCGAATCGATGGACCTTGCTGGATTGAACGAATACTAAAGGCCACTTCCTCCAATTCAATGATGGATCCCTGTCTCAACATAATCCACCTTTTCCCCACTGAGTTCAACCCCGCATTTTTCACATGAGTCTGAAATGACAAGCTTCCTCGCTTCCTCATTACATCATGGAACCTCTCCAGCAAGAAGAGTGCACAGAAGAGGGCATGTTCCGCACTTGGTTGCTGGCAGGTCAATCATGCTCCTCGGTTATGGTAATCTCCATCAGAATCAGAGGCGGGTGGCACACCGCCGCCAGCAAGCCCCGGTGACTTGACAACGGCTCCTACGTCTAGATTACTGTCCTCTTGACCATCGCAATTCCAACCAAATTGTTGCCGTACTTGGCTACGGAAACGGACTCATCAAGTTACACGCATTGTAGAAGAGATAATTAGTACATTGGATCGGTACTAAAATAGTACGCAACCTTGATCCTCATGCCGATGGAATCTAACCTCACGTCAAATTTGAAGTATATATGTGGGGTTTCCTTCACATGCATCAGCTTTCCCACGACCCGGTCGTCGGCAGATCTTTCATGTGTCTTTTGGTTATCGAATAATTCCCTTCATTTCAACTGGATACTGCCTTTTGCTTCGAGTGTCGTGCGAGCTCCCTTCAAATATTGCCGGTTCCTCCTTGGTTTCAGTTGCTCTCATTTTTCTTCCTTTTTAACCCTTCCTCTTTCTGTTATATGCTTTGAAGAGTTGGGAGTTGAGTGACATCCTCTTTGTTACCAAATTGTTGCTGATCACCCTCTTTCGCTGCTGCATACTCTAATTGACACTTGATCCTAACTACACGGCGGATTACCTTATCGGGGTTTGAGCGTCCATCCAGCTTCTTCAGCATGTTCGCAGAACTTTCGACGAAGCAGGGGCTCATGCTCACTGTGGCGGCCCTTCCTACATGCCTCATACTTTTCATGGTCTCCCGACTGATCAGTTACTTTCTTGTCAATCGCAAGATCAAGGCGTTGGGAGGCACTCGTGCCCCTGAGTACCCATTGGATGGGGTTGCTTGTATGTTGTGTACTTTTCCGGATTGATGTTCAGCGTCGCTCCTGGCTCATTTTGATTGACTTGCCGATAGGTATCACGAGCTTGATTGCCACTGGAAAAGCTCTTCTAGATAACCGCCTTCTAGAACATATGCAGGCGAACTTCGAGAAGTACGGTCGTCCCGGCTCCAACAATGTGATCGAGGGTGCTCCTGGTGGGCTCCGCCGCTTTATCGTCACCCGGGACCCTGAACATATCAAGACTGTCTTGACCGGTCAATTCGCTGATTTTGGCAAGGGCAAGTTCTTCCATGACACCTGGTCACCCTTCTTGGGAGACAGTATCTTCACCACCGATGGAAAGCTCTGGTCGAACAGCCGGACTCTGCTCAGACCTATGTTCGCTAAGAACCGTGTTCGCGATCTTGAGATTTTTGAGGACCATGTTCAAAAGTTGATCGAGCTGCTTCCCGAGCCAGGCGAGAAAGTTGATATCATGGATTTGTTCTTCCGTATGACAATTGATGTCACGACTGAGTTCCTTTTGGGGACCCCGATCCATTCTCTCGAGAACCCCGCGACCGAATTCGCTGCTGCGTTCGCTGAAGCCCAGAGGATACAGATGCTCATGACCTGTCTTGGACCTCTCTGGCGTACCTGCCCACGCGGCAGCTACAACCGCAGCATCAAATTTCTCAACGAGTTCATCTGGCCTTTCGTTCACAAGACTCTTAATCTGCCAGAGGAGGAACTTCATAAGCTCAGCCGGTCCGAGAAGCAATTCTCTTTCCTCCACTCCCTCGCCCTCTACACTCGTGATCCCAAGGTTATTCGTGACCAGGTTATCGCTGTCTTGCTTGCTGGCCGTGATACAACTGCCTCGACTCTCTCATGGGCCTTTTACGAGCTGTCCAACAATCCCAAGGCATGGGCCAGGTTGCGTGCTGAAGTCCTTGCTACAATTGGCGATACCCGTTCCCCTACTTTCGACGATCTTCACAACATGAAGTACCTCCGTGCTGTCGTCGACGAGACTCTCCGCTTGTACCCCTCGGTGCCATTCAACATTCGTTTCGCCTTGACCGACACAACGCTCCCGACCGGTGGTGGTGTCGACGGTGGCGAGCCTATCGCTGTATGCAAGGATGATTCGGTCATCTACTCGACCCTCGCCATGCAGCGCCGCAAGGACCTGTACCCCCCTGCCTCCGACACCTTCGCCGACCCTCTTGTCTTCTCCCCTGAGAGATGGGAGGTCTGGTCTCCCAAGCCATGGCAATACATCCCCTTCAACGGTGGCCCTCGTATCTGCATTGGTCAGAACTTCGCGTTGGCCGAGATGCGGTTCGTCATTGCTCGTCTTGCGCAGCGGTACGAGAGTCTGAGGTATGTGGGTGACTGGGGCCGCCAGGAGTATAAGACGGAAGTTGTCGGGGCACCAGCGTTCGGTGTCCCCGTGGCGTTTGGCAAGATAAACCCGGCGCAGGCGACGGAAAGATTATCTGAGAAGCAGTAGGAGTGGGGTGGGCTATATGATTGATGTGCGCCGAATGAGATAGATACCCTTGCGCCATCTTGTTTCGGTCGGTTACCTATGACTTTGCTACGGTCTGGTTTTGATTGTTTTTGATCGTTTTCTTTTCACGAACCTGCTGTTTCCATATATAAAAATCATACCTAGTATTGAATCAAAGTCCTGAATTTGATCAATGATTTTTGTGCTTATTGCCTTTGCTTGTGAGAACAACAGTCACATCACCTCTCCTCTGAATGCCATTTGTAAAGTGCCATGGAAAAAAGACAAAAAAATATCAAATCTGATCGTCCCCGGGAAGGCTCGAACTTCCAACCTCCTGATTAACAGTCAGACGCGCTAACCAATTGCGCCACAGAGACTTGTGCTTGAAAGACTAGTTCATATGTATCCTATCACTAAGCTGCATCGGTATCTGGTTACGAATATTTTGATAATCTTGTCTTTACCTTGTCTTTAAGGGTTTCTCTTGATCTCGACATCATTTTTGCAACATGCCATGGCATCGCAAGTGACTGCTCTACGTGGCGCTGGTGGGCGTGACATATGCCAGACGGGCGCGTTGTTGAGTGCGTTCGGTGCTCGACGCGGCAGCTCTACGCGTTCTACGGCAATAATAGAGACGCGACGGAGGTCTTCGCGTCTAAGAACTTCATCCTCGTTAATTGCCGGCAGGGGGCTCGACACACCACCACCTAACGCTTTCAAAGATCAATTGGAGACGCCCGGAGCTCAAACCATGCCTGTTGCAAAGCGGACCCTCGAGCCCTCGAAAGATGGAAGCGCGAAAAAGCAGAAAGCTGGGGGAAGCATCATGTCATTTTTCGGGGCACCGAAAGGTGGTTCATCACTGTCTTCTGTGAAGAGTAGTCCAGCGTCCAAATTCAACAAGGACGAGTGGATAGCGTCTCTAACACCGGAGCAGACGGATTTGCTGAAACTAGAGATCGAGACTCTCGACCCAGAGTGGATGGCTGCGCTGAAAGATCAGCTAGTCACGAAGGAATTTTTGGACCTCAAGAAGTTCCTAAAGCAAGAGATAAATTCTGGAGCCAAAGTGTTCCCTCCAGCAGAAGACGTGTATTCATGGTGAGTTTCTTTCAAATCATCCATGACCGTGCATTGTCTGATCTTCCTACAGGTCGCGATACACTCCTTTGCACCAGGTTAAGGTCCTCGTCGTTGGACAGGACCCATATCACGGCCTTGGCCAGGCTCACGGTCTCTGCTTCTCTGTCCGACCGCCTACTCCTGCACCTCCATCACTCAAAAACATCTTCACGGCCGTCGCCAAGGATTACCCAGACTTCCAAAGACCACCCAACAATGGCGGTTTACTTACTCCATGGGCAGAGCGGGGCGTTTTGCTGCTTAATACATGCCTAACAGTACGGGCACACCAGGCTAATAGCCATGCCAAGCGCGGTTGGGAGCAGTTTACGCAGAAGGTGATCGATATAGTTGCCGCGAGACGGACACAGGGGGTCGTCTTCATGGCGTGGGGCTCACCTGCTGCACAGCGCGTTGCGAAGGTGGACAGGAACCGACATCTTGTTTTGCAGGCAGTGCATCCAAGTCCATTGAGCGCGTACAGGGGATTCGTAAGTTTGTCCGAAGGTTTCAATATTCTGTATGGCGAACTGACTGCTGACCGTGTCTTTTTTCTCTTTTACAGCTCACTTGCGGTCATTTCAAGAAGGCGAATCAATGGTTGGTGCAGCGATATGGTGAGGATGGAGCTATTGATTGGTCTCTCGTTCCATCTGAACCTAAGACAGAGACCGAGGGAGCGACGGCGGAAAGTGCCGAAAAGACTGCTGGTCCGGCAGTTGAACCGGTGAATACCGCAAGCACAGCTCCATTGACGAAGAAGAAGAGCAAAGAGGAGTTTGATGATGATGAGCTGGAGGCCCTTCTTGCTAGCGAGGAAGGACTCAGTTAGCCTCTGTCACACGCATTTGTACAGTCTTGATGCATTTTCTGTAACATTTTTTGATACCCTCATGACACGAGAAGATCCGGTTTCTTTTCTCTTTTTGGCTTGTTCATGATCATAGATGTCATTTTAGAAATATCATGCAATTGTCTGCATTATTCCGTCATCCCCTCTTTCTCTGCAAGCATACGGAGTAAACGTTGAGAGTTCCGTCGTACATCTTCAGGGGTAAAGCTCTAAGCCGTTCATGCAGGATTCGGTCCCAATGCGGGCTGTTCAAAATACTGAATAGAATGGAGAACGTGTAAAGAAAAATATATCAAGTTGTTCAAGCGATGTGATGAAATAATGCCAGGAAAAGTAGATGAGAAAACAAGCGATTGACAGCCCAGATTGCTATTTGTGGTCACGAATAGATGTTTGACAGGTTGACCAAAAGAAAAGGGTAAGAACGAGAAGAAGCAGAAAAATGAATCATTCAATACCCACGCAAAGTAGACAAAACAAAAAAGGAAAGAAAAATGAAAAATAGGGAACGAACTCGAAAAGACCGAATGACTAGCTAAAAAGCAAACAGAACAGATGAAATGTAGTTTTGGAAGAACATGTCAACAGCGCGTGCACTCAAACGTTGAAACCGCGGTGCTCAGAATTTCCATCCCGGAAAGACATCAGTGATCTTCATGTTACTTGGATGATAAAAACAGTGGATGTTCTGACAAAACCAACGGTCCAATGCGTAGAAACCCGCACGGTCGCCGCATTTCCTACAAGAGGTGCCTGGATTGGGAGGACGCGTCGGCCAACCTGGTGGCATTTTGTATCTCGGCGGTCTCGTAAGCATAGCCTGCATGCTTACAGTATTTGTAAGTGGCCTTGCTGGCGGTAGTCTGAATTCAGATTCAGATTCGAAGCGTGCGCCAAAAGGGTTGGCAAAGTTGAACACTCCTGAACCGGACTGGGCTCCAACACCATGCCTGGATTCGGTCTCAGGGAGGGTGAACGAGAAGGTCGGCCCCCTGGAAAAGGCCGGATCAGGAGCTAATGGCCTGGGCTGCCATGGTCGCGTGGCCTCCTCTGGATCCATGCCACGAACATGGGTTGTTCTATCAGACGTCTGAACAACGCATTTGAGGCCTGCAGGATGCTGCCTTGGAGCGCAGCCGCTCTGCTCACATTCCGGAGATCTCAGATAGAGAAATCCAGCAGCATGGTCGGCTTGTGACAAATTGTATTTTCTCTGCCACTGATCACCCAAAATCAGAGAGTAGCCGGGCGTAGGCCCAATGTAGACCAACAGCCTATCTTTGTGATGACCTATGTTGTATGGGAAACTGGCACACCTGGTTAGAGTGCAGTGCCTGTTGCCATCGAAGTCCGTCACCAGGATTGAACACTTGGGTGGTGAGATGTCGAGACCGAGGTTACGCGCGACCTCCTCAGAAATGATGTTAACAGATGTAGCATCATCTATTAATGTTTGAACTTGGTGAGACAAGATTTGAGCTTCCATAACAAGATGCTTCCCAGGGTAGGTAGGGATACCCGACGCGATGGAGGCATTTCTTGAGTAAGAAATTCTGGTGCTCTCAGGGACGAAACCCTGATTGGGTGCAAAAGGATTAGACGTCATTTCTGATTTGCAATTCGATCAAGAGAGCGATGTTGATTTTTCTTTGCCTTTCCTGTAGTGTTGTGTATGTAATAATGAATATCTCTCTTGCACTTAGTTCGAAGATAAAACCCAGGAGGCCATGACGGAAGCATCTCTGTTTTATATGTTTCAACCGACGCCGAGCCCCTATCAAGGCTATCCAATAGGCAAGAGTCAGTATTTTGTTGATGTAGAAAAGATGGATGCCACCACTTGCGGCGCCTGATCGTGTCGACCCCTTTTTTTCGTGCATCTGTAACTTTGGCGAATATGATGTTAGTAAAAATTGAAATGACCATATCAATGCCAGCCAAGTCCTTGGGTCCAACATAGCGACCATATATTGGCGCTAACATGTATTACAAGAGTAGCAGTGAGATTGCACGAGGGCCATTTTCGATTCTCGAAGACGTGCGAGACAGTAGGAATCATGAGGAAGGTTACGCCGGAGAACGATTCTTGAGAAAGGGGAAAAGATTGAATTGCATAAAATTTGAGGCACGTCTAACACCGGTTCATATGCATTTTACCAAGATTTGTGAAGTTTTGCTGCAACAGGATAACTGCGATGATCAATGAATGTGACGAATCCAATTTATGTTTTTCTCTGAGTGAGGAAAGTGGTGAAAATTGTATATGTCTACCAATCTATTCGAAATAATCTTCAAGGCAAAATATCCCATGGAATCTATGTCATCACATCGGTAGCACCGTAGGGCCCCAAACAATAAAAAACAAAAACAAAAACCAATATGCAGGAGAGAGGCGATTATAAAGCACATGCATATCTATATGGCCAACAGAAATTCAGGAATGAAATACAAAACAATATTCAACGCACACGCAATATCGCATGCTCAGCACACCAAAGTACAAAAATCCGCCTGAGCAAGGTACATAAAAATCAAAAATTGATCATCGATCATTTTTCTTCAAGGAAACAAGTGATATTTCCCCCGCGTAACAGAAGGACATTAATATGCATCGTAAAGGAGCCGCAAGAATGTATAGAGACCAAGGAGAACGCCTGCCTCTGAACATAAGTCTTTCAAAGCAGTCCAGATCATGAGATCGCCAGAAGCGATGCAACATCGTCACCCTCTTACTGAGGAAGAACATGTGTCGTTGTGATCACCATCGACTATATTTGCATGGAACTGGATTTCTCGGGTAGTCGTTGCACCATTCATTGGAAGCTGCCTTTGCCCTAAATTCCAGAGGAGGAAAAGAGATGCGGAAAGTGCTCAAAAGCTGTTGACTGAAAGTTGAATCGACGAAAGTTTACAGCTTGCTGTATGAAACAGCTTTGGGAGGTTAAGAGTAAGAGTGCTGATTATCATATGGCTTGCACTGTCACATCGTCATCCGTAATGAAAAAATTATTATCATCAGGGGTATGAGAACATCTCGTGTGCGTAAGGCGGAGAGTTCGAGCACGGAAGTCAATCTCAGGGTTGTGATCCCGAAGCCATTTATCTGACAGGAGTATATCCCAATCATTAGATGTATCAGCAACAACAGCCCTCAACAACTCAAAGTGAGTTCCTATGACGACAAGCATCTCAGCGTAATACCGAACGACATAATGATTTTTTCCGGTCCAATCGCCAAATCGTAGTGGCCGGTCCAACACGAATTTATGCACTCCATGTGCGTTGATATACCGTTCTGACACCGAGGTGATACACGCGCCGGAGTCCACGAGAGCTACAGCTGGAATAACGTTTTCAACGTAGCAGCGCACGTAAAAAGACCTTGTCGACTCTGGAGAA